TTCTGTGGTTATCTACCACAGATCATGCACTCATCAGCTTGGAATGACAATTTCTGATGGTTTTTGACATCTACTGAAGCACAAAGTTCATAAATACTGTGCTACCATCTCCACCCTTGTGCCATGGGCTGCAACACTGTGTAACAGGATGCTAGCTGATCATGCTCTTGCAGTGTCAAGCATCGTGCCTTTCTGGGCTACACTTGTTATGAAATAAAAACAGAAATTACTAATGAAATTCTATGATCTCAATGATTATAACATATTTTATTTCATGCAAATGTGGTGATATTAACAAAAATTATAAATAATTTTCCATAGAGACTTTTATATGTCCGAGAGGGTGAAAAACAAAAGTTCTTAGCCTGACCCATTTCCCCAAATCTCACCAGACATCAGATATTTTTTGAAAGGGTTTCTTCTCAGGACAAAAACTTTTCAGCGCCCATTTGTATATTTAGGGTGATTCTTAATTATCTGTAGGTTACTTATATTTATTGCCTGTAATTGCAGCAGGTTATGGTTAACAAACCCTGCCAAAGGATGAGGAGGCTGTATCTACATAGTAAACTGACTTTCATATTAACTATACCTTTCAAATTTATACCTACTCAATTACAAGTCGCTTTGAAAGTGAAAATCTCAATATGATTGGCCTGCAGATAACAAAGAAATATGTATATTTAATAAGATTATTTGAAAACTATACTGTGTTCTTAAAGCTACCTTCCTGATATGCTTGATGTTACCTCAATCCTAAGGATAAATCATGATTGATGTTACCTCAATCCTAAGGATAAATCATGATTGATGTTACCTCAATTCTAAGGATAAATCATGGCTGATGTTACCTCAATCTTAAAGACACATCATGATTGTTGTTGATTGATTTGTTTTTTTTTTTTATGATTTATAAACCCTTTGTCAGTTATTTAAAGCCAAAACATTTTTGGATTGTAAAAGTAATTCTTTTTTGTAAGTGAATATTGCATTAAGAATTTTTGGACAATAACAATGATTTTTTCCAAATACAAATTCTATTATTTAAAATATATAAAGAGACAGATTCATATCTTTCTCAATGGTATTTGTGCATACATGAATGTTAAAATTTCAAATTGGTATTTGAACTCAGCTCTCCAACTTCTCAAGTCAAGCTACTATCTATTGCATCACCTGCACATCCAGACAATTATGGAAAGAAATAAAACAAGGATACATGTAATGTGACAAAAGACTAAAAATGTCATAAATACTTTGTGAGATGAGACAAAGTTGGCAAATAATAATTTGACTTACATTTTGACATTCCATGAGTAAGTCAATTGATAATGTTATACAATTATGTCATTAAAAATAGCATAGCATTTAAGAATCAGAATTGATAATGAACCTTGTAAAACAATAATACAACAAATTAATAAATTGCATTTAACAACCTCTTGTAGCCTATATTTATAGCCACATATGCCTAAATGTCCATGAGCTAATATATGTATATATACAAAAAGAGGATGCAAGTCAACACTGAGAAGAGACAGTCTGTTTCATGCTTGAACACAATCTTTAAGCCATGTGTGTTTTTTCAACAAACATGGCCTGACAAATGCACTTTTATATTTACATATGCTCTATCCCTGATATTGAGCACTTTTAACTGTAAATATAGGATACCTTAAAGCTATATTTTATCATATATATATGTGTGTGTGTGTGTGTGTGTGTGAAAAGTGTGTGTATATAAATATAAACATATATATATATATATATATATATATATATATATAATATATATATTATTATTTATATAAAAGGGTACTTATTTGTCTGACAATTGCTAAAGCGTGAAACCCAGGGTCACAAACCCACATCAATCCAACCAAATATATATATATATATATATATATATATATATATATATATATAGTTGCTTGAAGATCATGAGAGTGTGAAACTTAAGTAGCAACTCAAGCTGTACTTCATTGAAGTTTGACATTGTGAAACAAAAGAGAGAATGTGAACAGGGAAGGAAATGTCTTTTTATAGACTTAGACAGCACCACCTAATGGGTGTTTGACAAAGCTAAGTGGGGAAACAAAATTTCTGGTTCCTTTATTACTAGCATCATGGGAAAATTTCTTTCTTTTTTTTATCATCATTATTATCCTATTTTTTAATTTTATTTAATCTTCTCGCAAACCCTTGAAAATGTCTAATGAATTGGTTGAAAGTGTTTAGGACATTAATCACTACAGACAGTTTCTGCAGTCTCTTTGTCCTTCCAAAATGAAAACTCTCAGAACATTAGAAAAACTGAATAAAATCTTATAAAATATTCCCTGTCCATCACATTCAATGAAACATATATAGTAATATATATATATATATATATATATATATATATATAGTAATGATACAATATGGTAATCCGTATGGAATTTCCAAGAGGATATAGATCCAGGGAGAGCTCTTATACACTTACATGAATTAACATTACTGTCCTACATACATCTACACACACAAGCATCTCTTTACTTACACACTCTTTCACTATCACACACTTTAACATCCTAAATGTTCCTCACACATATTTATATATTATCTATTGTGTTTATACACGTGACGCATATCTGGCAAATGAGAACTCCCAAAAATCATATCATTCCAGTGGTCTGTCTCTTTGCTTTTTCATTTCTATTTTCAATCTCTGACGAAGCCTTAGTAAAGTTAGATTGAGACTTGTTTCCTACCTTATTCTTTATTTCATCATCTTGTCAGCTTCTTATACATATCTGATCTACATTTGATCAACTATATATATATATATATATATATATATATATATATATATACACAAGGTAACCAAAAAAGTTCTGTCCGTTTTTTGATTAGTCATTGAATGATGTTGAAATATATACAAAATGTGTGTAGCAATTGTTTTCAAATTCGGACAGCCGGAAGTAGGAACATCAAACATTATAAAAAACACGTGCACCATGCCCGGCCATCAGTTATAAGCCGGACAGCTGTGAGAAGGATGGAAGTGTCTAGAGATCTCGTTCGGGGCTGTTTGCTTTATGACTTCAAAGTGGGCTTATCAACAGCTGCATCAAGTCGACGCATATGTCAAGCATTTGGGGATAGTGCTGTGGATGAACGTACTGCAAGGTGTTGGTTTTGAAAATTCAAGTCAGGAGATTTGTCTCTCCATGATGAGCCTCGCAGTGGACGACCACAGGAGTCCTGAAGGCGGTCATTGAAGAGGACAGTAGTCTAACGTGTGGTGAACTTGCAAGACAGTTCAACATTTCTGATGAAACAGTTCACCTGCACCACCTAGATAAGACGTACAAACTGAGCAAGTGGGTTCCGCAAACACTGTTGAAGGTCCACAAGGGACAACGAGTGGCAGCCTGCGAATCGCTGCTTTCTCACCACCATACCACATCCTTATTCAATCGAGTACTTACCAGTGATGAAAAGTGGGTTCTGTACGAAACTCCCAAGCGTTTCAGACATTGGTTGTCTCCTCAAGATTTATTCCCCCATGGAATGACTGAAAGGAAAAGGAATGACAAACATGCATTGTTCTCAGAGAGCCTATTATACAACAATGACATACACAAAACTATACATATATACCCGTGTGTCCCATGCAGAGAATAATATATAACATATATCGAAACAGCAAAACAGAGTGTAAGGATAGACAAAAAGGAAGAGTCTTACATATAATGTGGAGATACTCATGTGTCAGGAGAAGCCATGTTGAAAACTCCAGATTCATCTCTGTCCCAGGCAAGGACATATTCCATGAACAGGAAAGTATGAGCCTTGGGTTTTCCCAAATAGAGAACTGCAATCTGGAGTTTCATTCTATATCTGGAAAAGATATATTTCCAAAGGGAAATGGCACCGTGGACCTGTAAGCCGCAGATTTTGGCCCAGGTTAAAAAAGAAAGCAACCTTTTCGTTTACTGCCGTAAAAAAAAATGAATTTGGCTGCTGTCTTCATCATTGTATGAAGTGACGGCACTAAGTGGCTGTCATGTAACCTATGTGACTGATCCCCACTAAAAGGAGATAAACTCCTTAAAGAGTAAATATTAGTAAAAAAATAAAAATAAAACTTACATTGTCATAAAGTATTACTTTAATTTTAATTTATTGATCATGCCTACATTCATTCTAAGGTATTCTTTATGTGAAATTTAATCTTATGAACACAGTTTCAAGAAATGTATTTAATTTATTTTAGAGCATAGGAAAGTTAGTCATGTTTCTTCTTTACTTTTTAGTTGTTAAAGATAAATCACTGAATTTTTTAAGTATTCAATTTTCCTAACCAACCTTCTAAATTTCATATTTTAACTTTTTTTAATGTTTCTTGTGGATCAGAGACATTTCGTCACTTTTTAATATACAGCGTGAGCTCATTCATTCGTTTGTTAATTCTGGAAAATCCAAAGAAAAGATTGTCTCATGAATCGTGACATGCAATTTTATTCTTTCCGTAATTTTCCGTCAATTGGCGAAATAAACCGAAGACGAAGAAGAAATATATCACGGATGAAATAAATCGATATGTTTTAACAAAATTTATATTTTATAAAATATTCTAATAGAAAATAACAATTTTACTATAAAAATACAAATATATATACATATAATTTAAAGGCCTGATAACAGCCGATTTTTTCCGAATATCTACTCGGAAGTTTGTTTTTCAAGACAGAACCAAAACAACCTACGTCATTGTTGTCTCGTTTTATCAAGAAATTTCTAGATCGTGGGCCGAGACTGGTTTTAAATTGGTTCGCTCACTGCAGATTTCAACAGTTTTAGCCAAGTTGTCAAGTAAGAAGGAGTAAAAAAAGAAACACCAAAAACTAGAGTTTTATCAAATCTGTAACTGACACAAATCATAACAACGAAGAACGAGCAGCTTGACATTATTCGCCATTTCTGTTTTGAAAACGACGACAACACAGAATTCAAACATGTCTGTTACTGTTAAAGCATACAAAGCTTCAAAAAATTCCCCCCGTAACTATACCGAAATTCGTCGTTTCGGAGTGCCAGAAGATGTCATTACAAATTATGAATATTTGTTCAAAAATATTTCTGAAGTATTTCCTGGTTTGAAACAAGGCAATTTTACTTTGCATTGGATAGGTAAGTGAAAAGTCCATTCATTCTGTTTTTTTTTTTTTTTCCTCATGTAAAGTACAAGTTAATGTATCTTTTTATGAGTAATATTTTTATTACTTTTTTCTTAACTATAGCATACGTTAAATCTTGTAGATTAGAAAGAAAAGCTTTACTATATATTAACGTCACTAGGCAAATTGAAACTAAAGTAATTTTTATTGCGTTACATCTGAAATCTGTTTCGTAGCTTCCGTTTAGCATCCATTATTATTGCATACGAACTCATTTCTAACAATATCTATTTAATTAAAATGTCTTTGCTGCTTTACTAGTTAGTTTTATGATTCATAAATTTGAAAAAGGCCTTTTTTTCCAGAAATAGCAAGAAGGCATTTCTTATTTTTTGTAATAAATAAAATAAGTAATTTCTGAACCAATGCTTCCTTCCTCATTTTATGTTCCGTTTAAAAAAAAAAAAAAAACGTACAAGGTCTTCGTTACTGGACGAATGTTGGCATTACGTTTACAAGTATTTAACATGGTCAAGGTGATGCCGATAAATTCTCATCCCAACCAAGAAGCCCTACGAATAAAATAGATTTTAAAAAAATCTGATATTTTGTCAGATTTTATCCAATGGATCGGGCCGAGAATTTTTCAACACTTCACATCCCAAGACGATGTTTAAAACCAAGAGCGCAATTATATATATTTTACATTTTTTTTAAAAACATACTGTACTGTAGTCACAGTGCAAATTTTTAAGTAAAATACTGACTTCTTTTTTGTATTCTTTTTTTTTAAACCTAACTTTTTATCGAAAGTATTGTGAAAAAAAATCAATATGTGTTATAAAAATTACTTCGTAATAATAACCGAAAAATCTTAACGTTATGGAAAATATAAATTTTTGTACTAACGATCTTTTTATCAAAATAAAAACTGTTCAGTTTTGTTGAGGGCATCATCGAATTTATTGTTTCTAATTTTTTAATCACTTGTTTTAAAATTTCTTCACTAGAACGACTTTCTTTCATTGAAGTCAACTGACAATTCATTATTTTAGCCATTTTTATTTAGAGAACTAAGGTAAACAAAAACAGAAATATAAAAATATTACTAAAACCGTCATTGCGTGTTTTTGTTTGATATTTTCGGATTCCCTCAATTTTCATGCATGCAAGTTGTCGCGTAAATTTGATCATCTAGCCGGCCTGTCATTTTTATCACGCGCTTGTGCTTGATGGATTTTTTTTTTTTTCTTATTGTTTTACTTTGTCTTATCACGAGTGTTTCTGATTAGAACTAAGAAATTAATTTAATCTTTTTTTGTCTCTGACACTTGAAATTGTTTATAGCGGAAAAAATCTCAAAGAAGATTGCTTTCTTTAAAAATATTGGAATAAAAATCGTTTAAATCAAATGACTTTGTTTGATTCAAGATTGAAATTGTAATCGACCTCCTTGTTCTAACATCTTAGTTACTTTTATGTTGTTTGTGTGTGTGTTTACACAACGATAGCTGCTATTGGTAGAGTTTCTTCAAATGAAACTAAATAACTCTTTCTTAATATCAGGTCAACTTGACCGCAGAGCTATTAAGCAACATTTACACTTGGTTAGATATTTGTTTGCATTCGCTATTGAAGTGTGTCCACTCAAGGAATTTTTTTTTATCTATCTATTTCACCCCAAGCAGGACAGTAAAGCCACTAAAATGCAGAGAGTTACTGAGAGTGAAAGAAACTGGGAAAATATTAAGTTAAAAGATTAAGAATATTAAAAAAACAGGATTTAAAATGACAGATGATGATTAAAGTTTCATTTAAATTTTTGAAGTTCATAGTTGACAGGAAAGCCAAGAGTTCCATAAGTAAGAGAAGAAACTATTAGAATAGAACTTACCATATTTCTTGCCTGCTAAGACACATTTTTCACTGAAGAATGTCCTCAAAATTCACCCTGCATTTTAGCACTGAAACATCAAATTTGTAAAGGAGTTTACCAACGTTCACAAACCCCAATCACCAGATAAAAGCAATCATGAGCTCCAGATATAAGCTTATAATTATCACTTGTATGTAATAAATATTGTATATCCCATTTAAGTATCATACCATATTGTTTATATCTGGGAGTTGGATGTAAACACACCATGTGTTGAGATGCTGTGTGGTTTGTGATAAGTTGTTTTTGATGTGAATAGGTATGACATTGTGCTAAACTATTGAAAATCTAATTAATAATAACAACAAATATTTAATAATAGATTCAAAATGTAATAATTTGTTGTGACAGAAAAATGACACCATAGAATCTGTGACTTGGACTTCATAAGCTATTAGATCCTCAAATTTGTTTCTTTTTTTTCAAAAATAACCTAGATAATTGTAGGATGTGTCTTACCACTTGTAGTGACTTAGCATATGGGAAATACAGTAGTTAATTTAGCAATTTCATCAATAAATCTGGTACTACACTTAAATTCATAAAGTCAAGGTATCAAAAACAAAAACTCATCAGAACAATTACCATAAAAATATTTATAGTAAAAGCACAGGGAAGCTGTGTTACAATGGTAGGGAAATAGAAGTTGATAAATTAGTTCAGGATCAATATCATTGCAGATTCTTCTTTGGATTTTATCAAGGATTTCTAGATATCAGAAGCACCAGATCAGATGTGTTAACAATATTCAATGCACTGATGAATGGTAGATTTATAAATGTGTAAGATAGATTTCAACAATAAAAATTGTCTAAAACACAGTGAATCGAACTTCCCTAGCAGCAGACTTAGCGATTGATTCTATAATCATTACAATTTATATCAGTGGAAAAGGCACAATGAGTTAATCACTTGGAGATTGAACATCAGCTATACCTGATGGAAGGCAAAAAAGGTTCTCTAAGACTATTAAAAGAGAGGAGCACTTTAGTTTTGGAGGCATTAAAATTAACAAATAATTTCTTGCCAAGTTAACTGACTGGAGGTCATTTTTGATATCAGCTGTCAATTTGACATTATTAACACAGACTTATCATTAAGCCAGAAGTAAATAATTGTCATCAGCATAGATACTGAGTCAAGAACTGGTGACATCTGGAAGATTGTTGATATAAATTAGGAACAAAGTAGGACTGAATCTTGGGGAATGTCTGCATTTATATAGAAAGATCTAGAAGAGTGGCAGTTCAAGACTGCATTCATTTCATGATAAGAAAGATTGCATCAACAATAGTTCAGCCAGAAACATCATAGCCTTTCAAACTATCAAACACCTTTGAGATATCTAAAGCAACAGACCAAGTTTTGCCTTTCTTATTGAAAGCCTGACTGTTAATATATCAGCAGTTTAGAAACAAAAACCATCTTGTCTTATAGAAAACCCTGTGAGTTGAGATGCCTAACCAATTCTGAATTGATTTGAGTCTCTCGTACTTTGTCAAAAAGATGACGACTAATAGGTCAAAGGATTAGACAGTCTGCCTGAGTTCTTAAAAACAGGAACTACAGAAGTTTCCAATAAGCCAAAAAGTATGAAGTAGCAAGGTATTTATTGTAGAGCTTAGAACAGGAGCCAGTTCAGGGGACACAGGAATACCATCAAGTCCACATGCTGGTGATCAAGTTTAGAGATGACAGCAGAAACCATGGACAGTTATATGCATATCACACAGAGACTCCGTTCAAAGTGGAAAGTCAGGCAAAGGTACTCTAAATGAACCAAGAGTAGAATTGAAATAGAATATTGTGAGCAAAGCATTCTGTTTTATCAATAGGTAATGATAAAACTTCAAATTGAGTGAAAAGAGGAATTTAGAACTTGCTCTTATTTAATATACTACTACAAAGTATCCAGTAGTCACAAGAGGCAAACTTGTGGGAGGCATTCATATGGTGCCTCATTCTATCAGCAAACAAAGACTTGGCTTCATTGAGGATATATTTGCAATTATGAACTGTCAGAAAAAGACTTCTATTTTGATCAGTTATTATATTGGTAATATAAAAAAAAAGTGGTTTTTGTATGCTATAGTGACTAAACAGGAAGAAGTTTTGTGAATAGGAAATCCATCTCTAATAAACAAGTCAAAAATGTCAACAGACACTACAGTGTGATTCAAATTGCCAAATGGACAGTTGTGATTTTCAACAAGAACCAGGACGTAAGGAACAAATCAAGTAAAGAAGGAAGTTATGTGGTTTTTATTTTCTTTTTTTTTTTTTTTTTTTTTTTTTTTAATTGGTATCACCTCATGTAAGGCAGTAAAGCCACTCAAACACCATCTTACAGGGTGTAGAAGAATTAGGAACAGAAACAATAATGATGAGCAGAAAGAGAAGTGGACAGTAGATAGCAATTGACATTGCATTTAAACTTTTGTTGGCTGGAAAGCATGGAGCAGGGAATTTCACAAGCGAGAAGTGCAAGGAAAGAAACTGTTAGCATAGAACTTTAGGCTACATCTAGCCAACTCGACTGTTAAGGGATGAGATCTCAATGCCAGTCTAGTATCACACTTAAATTCATGATTTCTGGGTACTATAACAAAGAGCTCATCTGAACAATTACCATGAAAGTTGCTCTCTTTCTCTCTCTCTATTGGTTTTGTTTCCAGTGTTTTCACTTACCCTTCCTCCCCTGTTTATGTTGATCAGAATTATTGGGGAAATGAGTAAGGAAATCTCACAGGAAGTGAAAAATTGAAAGTCTGAATGCCAGCAACATCAGTGGCATTGGAATGTTTAAGCTATTTGGCATGATGAGCAATCACCAAATACAAAGATGTACACAGATGAATGTAGAAAGCCATTTCATTAATGTCAGATATTTTGTCTAATATGCTACAGTCCTGAGAAGAGAACAATAAAGGAAAGATAGCGAACAGCATAATAATGAAAGTCAAAAAACACATTAAAGAATCCCCCAGAGATGATAAATAAATAAAAAAATTTATTCATAAAATAATAAAATTTTTTTTTTTTTTTTTTTTTTTTTTTTTTTTTTTTTTAAACAAACCTTGTTTCTTAGGTTTAACAAACATCTTAGCAAATATTCATTATTTTAATAACTTTCCTTAAAAAATGATCTGAAATTCAAACCTGTCACTGTTTTCCCTTTTTCATATGAAATCTTACTTTTGGATCGTCAACCTTACATTGATTGCTTTCAAGACAGGCTTGTCATTTTACTATTTTGAAGGTTAAAAATGTAGAAAGTTGGCAAGTCAGTTGAAAAATATTATCTAAAGGACAAAGTAGATGTTGCCAGAATCTTTTTATTGTGTGTGTGTATATATATATATGTGATTGTCATGAAAAATAGAGATCTTATTTTTCACATCTATAACTTCCATTCTTAGGAAATCTGCTCTGAAAATGTTATATTTATGCAATTTTGTTTATTTGTTCCCTTATTTAAAATAATTTTTCTTGCATTTGTAGAAAAAAAAATAATCTTGAAATCTTTGTGTTCAAAAAATATCTTTACATTTTTTCAAAGTTTCCAAAATTTTCTTAAGTATCTTTTTATTCATACTGTTTTATATTTTTCTTGTAAATTTATAGAAAGGATATTTGCTACTTTGTATTATCAAGGCACCTTCAAAAACAAAAAGCATCTATTGAATATCCTAAATGTTCAGATATCTGAAAAAATAAAATATGACATTTCATTTTTGCTCCTATATTTTAGGAATTTTTGATTTGCTATAAAAAAAAAAAAATAATAGTTTCAACGGAATTTTCCTTTATTATTCTCTAAACCAATTTTTCAGATTGTGATGATGATCTCATCAGGTTTAACACGGATGATGAACTTCTGGAAGCACTGAATTCTAAGAAAGGACCATATTTCAAAGTTGTTGGTAAGATTTAAACTTTTCCCCCTCAGTATTAGAAAAAACAAAAGATTAACCCCAAATATATTGTTTGCTTTGACAAAAAGATATAAAATAAAAACATTTGAAAGATGAAAATTAACATGACTGGTTATTTTTCTATAAGAAAATAATGAAATAACTTGCACTTGAGTTGTCACTTGTAGTCTGCAGGAATTTTTTTTTTTTTATGCATCATCTTTTGAATTAAGGCAACTTTCTAAATATTTTTAAAAATTCAAATTTTAGTTGAATTTGAGAATCTTTTCATTTCACTGCAGAGAAAAAGTTGCTTGAAATTTGTCTTTTTCTTTGCTAAAAATGATAAAAACATGTACCATGTAACAGAAACCGCGAGAATTGCAATAACAAAAAAAATTTAAATTGCATATGAATTGTACAAAAAAAATAGTATGTACATATATAAAACTTAAATGAGAAGTTCCAACAAATGCTGATCGTGTAAATTTTATTTTCCTGCAGTTCTTGAAAATGCTCCTAAAGCTTCACCTGAAGATGGGGAATTACACCCTGGAGTGACATGTGATGGATGTGATTCTGCTATTCGTGGTCCTCGTTACAAGTGTCTTATGTGCCAGGATTATGATCTGTGTCGTACTTGTGAATACAAGTCTCTGCATGCTGAGCATCCAATGATAAAACTTCCTACTCCTGGCTCTTTTCCCAACTTCAAGGTAATTATTTGCATTTAGTTTCTCTGTATACATTACGTTCTTTTTTTTTTTTTTTTCTTTCTTTTTAAGCAGGGGTAATATTTTTGCTCTTTATTAAGTTGTGTATTTCTTGGAAATTTCTCCCCTCAAACTATACCTTTTCTCTATATAAGCTTTGTATAATGTGTAAATTTCTAACAAACATTCTTTACAAAACTGCTAGATCTAAAAGTTTTAATCCACTATGAGGACAGTTCTTTTTTTTTTTCATTAGGTAGAGTAGTCTGTTTTCATTTTCCTTAAAATTTTCTCATTGCCCACATGTTCTGTCTATGGTATTCTCAACAATCCTTCTGTAGAACTACATCTGTTGCCTCTACATCTGTGAGGAAAATGCCCAGCATTCACTGGGAATTGATACTCCATAATAGTTCAACACAGTTTTCTTTGTTTCTTATGAAACATTCTTGTTTCTTAATACTTTGTTTAGCTTCTGAAAGGCATCTTTTGTTATTCCAATGTATCTTCAGTTTTCCGTCATATTTTTGGCTGTTTTTTTATAATACTCTCAAAATAAATTTCTGTACTTACATGATTTGACCTCTCTAATTCATAGCTCACCTCTTTGGCCGACCCTCTAACAACCATACATTCTTAATTTTTACAATTGATGGTTAGTCCTTTCTTCCCTTTCCTTTATTAACTTGTCTAGTAGTTTGTGCAGTTTTTGTTTACCATCAAGATTGTATATCTGTTAAAATTGCATCTACTAATAATAAATCCTGGTAGGACTTCTAGTTCTAGATTGTCTAGGTTAAATAAATCCAGTGTGATGTAATCTTGTCTTATGCCCCTTTTTATTTTTGCATACTTACTCAGTTCATTTTCTATCTGTAGACAGTTTGGTTCCAGTAGATCTTTGTGACATAGATTGTCAAATGCTTTTGTGTAGTCTATGAAACCTAGTTATACATACATTCTGCATTTGTATTGCTCACTTTGAGGACTAGAATACATCCTATTAATGGGAGAAAATCCATTTCTCATAATCTCTACTAAATCTCTCCATATATAAAACAAGCAAAAATGTCTCAGTATATGCTGGATACTTTAAACAATAATGTTTCAGAGTTTCATAGAGAAAATAAGGATTTTTCTAGTTTTGAATTGTATTTCTCATATCATGCTAACACTGGTATTTGTAATTAGCAAAAAGATAAATTTCAATTTTTCTCTTCCCACCCACTCTCAATTTCAGTCCTGGTAACATTTAAACAAATACAACACATCTTATTGATATATATTCATTACTCAGCCTGCTTTGAAGCTAGTGTTGTAAATCTTTTTTAATTTCACTTACTGCAAATATTAAGATATTTGAGACATGAAAATGCTTGTTTAATGATGATTATAGGAAGGTTTTATGTAAAAAAAAAAAAAAAAAAAAAAAAAATTATTTAAAAATTTGGAGCTGTTTAAGAGTTGGTAAATGTTTTCTGTTTTCAGACTCATTTTTTCAATGGTAATGGTGGCTGTTGTGGTTCATTTGGTGCAACCTCTGCTCCTGGTGGTTGTTCCTTCAGTACCTCATTCTCTACTTCCTCTGCAAGTAATGACAAACCAAAGGACGAGAAGAAAACTACTGATGATAAGAAAGAGTCAAAAAAGGCTCCTGAATATTCACCCAATATGTTTCAACATATTGGCGAACATCTTTCTTCTGTGCTTAACCCATTTGGTAAGCTTTTTTTTTTTTTTTTTTTTTTTTTTTTTTTTTTTTATTATTTTCTTTGCATTATTTACATATCTCCTTGACTACTTTCTCTGAAATTAACTTGTCTTATTTCTTACAAAACTATAAAAGAACATTCATCTTTACTATGAATTTTTTGTTTGTAGATCTATTTTATTGAGGAAACAAAGTTTTTCTTCTCATTTTCAATTGCATACATGAGGGTGATGCTGAAAAAATTGTTTGGTCAGGTTTTTTCAGGGAGTAGATTGGACCAAAAACTTTTAGCACTCCTTCCCTTATAATGATTACTCAACCTCACATTTTGTTAAATTCAATCAACAAGACCTGTCTAATTTTTTTTTTTAAGATTTTCACTGAGATCAAAATTCTGGATAAACTGTCTGATGTTCTTGTTTTATTCTAGTAATTTCAACAATCTGTCATCAAGAACTGGTTGTTGTCCGTATGATCACAAGATTTAGTTGGCTACATCTGAGCTTATTTTAATGAATAGTTTTGTGATTATTTCATCTATGTTACCTAAGATAAAGTAACTAGTTTTACTAATTATTAAGTTGTTGAAAACATTTCAAGAAAATTTATTAATAGAAGTAATATTTAAATTCATAATAAAAATAATTTTAAGAAATTTTACTGTAGTAAATATTAAACCATAATAGTGTTGCTTGTTATACATCAAAGGTATTTTGGGTTTTGTTTTCTTCATATTAGAGAGTAATGCTAGAAGTATTAAACAGTTTTTGTTCACACAAAACTTGTCAGTGATTGACTAAATACAAGAATGATAATGCAGGAAAAAATACTTTACATTTACACAACTCTTTGGTAAATGGTGTTTAATATTTAGGTTTTGTTTTAGTTTGTTTCAAGAGATATGGCTAAATTTAAAGCACCTGAGTTGGCCTCATTAAATTTTATTCATATAAAATAACAAAAAGCAATATTTAAGTTATGAAGTTCTAACAAAATTCTAACTTGAAAAATAGTAAATTAAAACCATTGAAATCTTTTAAGATTATTTCTTAAGTTTGTGTTGAAATGTGTTAACCTGACTGTTATAAGAATAATGAACAAAAGTTTGTAAATTAGTGTAATGAAAGGAGAGGTAGGTTTCACATGGTTGAATTGAATTTACCTCTCTTTATATATGTAATTGTGTATTTGGGCAGCAATCCCTCTTTTATACATGTTTCATTAAAAACAACTGACAAAGTACTGTGGTTAAGCTTTTTTTATTTAATTTTTTTTTGTATTCTCATAATTTTCTTCTTTTCTGGACATAAATTATGTAGGAATTGTCCAAGTGTTCTGTATGTCCAAGTGCTTTTGGCTATACTTTTATCCATTATCAAGGACAATTTTTTTTATTTTTTACTTTTAACTGAATGTATGGATTGTTTTATGTATGTATCTAGTTATAGGAATGTTTTATTTTCCAAACTGATGTAGGATCCTTGGAAATCAAAAACTCATTGGAGATTACCAACCTGGATACCTATATGGAAATGTTAAAATACATAAACCCAGATATCCATTATGACCTATCATTTGACAAATCCCAACACCAATTTACCAGTTGTCAAAATTTCTCAATGAGATCATTACTCCATATCTATCTACCAATTATAACATCAAATCAACCCATGAATTTCTCCAAATCTTTAAAACTACACAACCAAACCAGGGCATTTTTGCATCACTTGACATAGAAGATTTATTTGCAAACATCCCTGTTGATGAAACTATTGATATAATCCTTAACCCTGTATATAAAAATAATTCAATTCCACCTCCATTTATCAAACCTAATATTCTCAAAGGATTATTGCATGCATAAAGATCATGTGATCAGTTTCATTTTGTGGACAAACTTCTGTCTAAAACATTTTTCTAGAATGAAATGCCTTAACCATGGTTTTGTTGATTTTTGGCATCTTATAAATTTGATACTTGAGAAAATATGAAGCTGAAAGGTGTTGCCTCTATAGTTTCTTATGCTAATAAATTATTTTTGGTTTTATTTTACCTTTGTTCCAGATAGTTTATATTCTACTAACCCTTAAAAATGGTTTTTCTGATGGTCTACAAAATTTTTAACAAAGAAACTTAACCAAGGACATTAAAAATAAGAATTCCACTAGATAATTTGAATTTTAAATACATAAAATCAAAATAGCATATGGATATTCAAAAATATACACAAATCAGGATCATTAGTAAAGCAAAAAAAAATCACATTAAGGGTATTTTTAAAGGAAATAAGCAAATAATTAGGCTTGGTGATAATAGTTTTTTTGTGCTTTCAGTCATAAATTAGTATTTATCTAACAACTTAATATGACAATGCATTCAAAATTGCTAAAAAAAAAGAAATGGAAATTTTATGTTAATTTTATTTGATATATTATTTTATATAAAACATGTTAAAAACATTAAAAGCTTTTCTGCTGCTGCTAAAAAAAACAAAAAAAACATCATACCTGTTAAGTAAAAAATGTTACATGCTCCTTGAAAGAATTTTACCAGTAAGATTAATAAGTGAAAAAAAACCTTTCCAATAAAGTAGTTTGGGGTAACGACATACCTAAATACTGACACTATTTTCTAAAGAACTTTTTTATCTACTAATTATTAACCTCTTAAATCTGAAACTTTCACACTTGCATGTAAACTGCTATGCCCACCATTCATTCAATATGCTTTCTCTAAAATCCCTATAGTCCTTCACAAGTGGTCAATTGAAATCACTTAGAATGTTTTGATTCATAATAGTTCAGATCAAAATGTCATCTTATGTCACAAATTATGACCAGTCAAAAATAAACATTCTGTTCTGTTGGGATATTGCTTGTTGGTCTGAAATAGACTTGACATTTGGATTAATCAAACTGAGCCCGAATAGCCCAAATACTTTTAGAATTTAAAGTTGAAGGATTTTTTTTTTTTTGTTACCAGGATGATTGTTTGACTGTTTACTTATTAATTTTTTTTTTTTTTTTTTTTTTTTATTATTTATAACTGCATTCCCTCAATATTTATTTCTTCTCCTCCTCCAATGTTTAATTTAATTTAATTTCCTTTTTGTCTTGCAGGGATTGATTTGGATATGAAGTTGGAAAAAGAAGGCCAATTTCAGAATGTATTTACAGGCCGGCCCTTTGGTCCACATGGTCCTCATCCTCACCCTCCATTTGGTGCTCATGGTCCTCCTCCACCGTTCCCTGCACCTTTCGGCCCTCATGTCTCTGCTCCTAGTGCTCATGTATTTACATCTGGGCCTCATGTTTTTGCCCATGGTCCTGAGGGGTTTAACGCTTCCTCTGAAACCAATGCCAAGATTGCAGCTAATGCTGATAAGATTGCAAGAGCTGCAGCTACTGCAGCTGCAGAGGCAGCAGCTGCTGCTAGTCGAATTTTTGCTTCTAACTGCAATAAAACTGCAGAATCCACTGAAGAAGCAACTCCTGCTGCAGATGCAGCAGCTGCAACAAAACCAAATGAAAAACCAGCTGAATCCCCAGTGTCTCAGCCAAAGTCCCCAACTCCTATGGACACTGCTTCATTGGATGAGACAAATTTGAAAGAATCATCGTCAACAGATAGCACAGTATGTAGATAATTATTTTATAAATGTTTTTTAAGTTTAAGCATTTTTTGGTTGTGGGGGGGTATATTCTTTGTAAGTAACTTGATCTAATGTCTATAAGTGTAAAGTTTATTACTCCCTAGCTCATTAACAGATTTTCTCTCACAGCACTATTTTTGTCTCGCTTTTAGAATGCTGATGGTTGGACAATGCTGAGCCCAAATTCCAAAGGTGAAGAGGGAGTTGAGGGGCGCACACCTGCACCTTATGGATTAGTGAGCAATAGCATCAAGCAAGACAATGATCTTTATTATTCAGAAGGTAAGCAAAAGTTGCCATTTGCTTTAAGAGAATATATATCCTTTTGAAATTGATTTTCATCTTTCTTTATATATAACTGAAGGGACATCATTTATTAAAGGTTACTAAAGTTAACATAAATATTTGATACCTTAAGATGAGTTAAAATAGAAATAATTTACATTTGCAAGAAAGATAATCTAAGCTTTTTGTCTATTGTAGAAATTTTTTGCCATGACTTTTCTATTGAGGTAAAAGGTTAAAAAAATAATGGATGTTTGTCATCCATTACAAAATTCACTGGGAAAAAAATATTTGTTCTCTTAAAAGTAACTTTTTTCCCTTCTAAAGGTAAAACGTTAGCATCTTTTGGTAACTATAAAGTCATTATTTGTTTATGCATACACACACATATATATATATATATATATATATATATATATATATATATATATATATATATGCGTTGGGTTACCAGTGAGGAACAAAATGTTTTTCAGAGACCCATTTTAATGCATATGATTTTTTTTTTTTTTTTTTTTTTTTTTTTTTTTTTATCATTATGGTTGTGTTATTTTGATATTAACATTTTTTTTTTTTTCTGCAGACCCCAAAGTTACAGATGCATTGGATCAGATGATGAGTATGGGTTATAGTAATGAAGGTGGCTGGCTCACATGTTTGCTGACAGCTAAAAATGGAGACATCAGTGCTGTACTGGACATAATCCAAAACAATGTGCAGAAATAAATTATTCTACCCCCAGTTATTGTTCCTCATCTCTTATTTTGAGAAGAGGCAGCATGAAACATGTTATCAAGTTTTTTTTATTTTGTGAAATTCTGTAATAGGAATGAAATAGGTATATAAAATTGTTATCTTTTGGTGGTTGTTTTTTTTTTTTTTTGGTTTTCTAACTTAAGAAATTGGCGATGCCTACATACAGTTACCAACAACCAAGAGATGAAGACAAATTTATTTTGATATGCAATTTTAACATTTCTAAGTAGCTCTTATTTGAAAAGTTCATTTCTTGTATTACCTGTGAAAACAATTGCTGCTAAAATCTTTTCTTGCAACTGATTGCCATTAGGTGGGAGAAATAAATGTTTATTTATATATAACATTAGGATTGTAGCTTTTAAATTGGTGTAAGCAAATACAAAATTTATTTTAATCCTGATGCTAATTCTTTGAAACTACCATGTATGTATGTATGTATGTATGTATGAATAGTTATTATATATACACACACATTTTTCTTTTGTTCCAAAGTTGTAATCATCAAATAGCCTGCTACTTTGGTTATTCATGTATTTTAGTTTTATTCAATAAAGATCCAAACTTAAAATTTGTCTTATTTTTTTTTTCAATTGAAATATGAGTCAACAATTTCCACGAAATTGGGGTTTGATAAGGACTTGTGCTGTGAAATTTAAATAAAACCTCTTTTTTTTTTTTTTTTTTTTTTTTTTTTTTTTTTTGAGGCTTAAAAGCAGCAACAGTCTGACATAAATCTGAAACTTCTTTTAACAAGAGCATTGTCTTGATGAATTTGTTTCAGCTGTCAGGCCTTACAGCCTTCTTCAGATGTCTCAAGTCTCGATCTGGACAATAATTGTCCTTGTTCCACTGTCCATGTCGACAAATATCTTGTTCTCTTTATTGCTATCCAAGTTTTCACAGAGTCTGTACTACCCGGCTCAAAGAGTTCATGCACAAGTACTATGATGCCAAATTCACAAACCAATGTTTTAATCCACTAGGCTACTGTCCCATGGCACAATCCTGAATGTAAACATCTGAAGAAGGCTGGCAAGCACAAAACCTGAAATCATTAATCTGACTGTAAATGAAGAGTATTGTTGGCATTATAATGGAGCAGATATTATTTTGAAAGATGTTTTACTTGACTGGTGCCTAAATATCTGCTAGATTGCATCAGAAATGTCAACTGTAAAAGAATAAAATACTTGGCCCCTAAAGACAATTTAAAAAAACAAAAAAATTCTAATCTAATATTTGATCATATTTTGGGCCAAGAACTTTCCACTACTTTCTTCTAATATTCATCAAAATCAATGGCATTATACACACATATTTTTTTTTATTTAAAGCTTTGCAGAATTATCAATATTCCTATTTATTTATTTATTTATTTATTTATTTATTTATCCTTGCAGAAAAAGACAAAACAGTCTCAAACCAAATTTGCTGGTATAATTATCGTACCAAGACATACTCTAACTGGCTGCCTCCACGATGCTGCATTAGTTTTCGCAAATCGGGACTGAGACATTCCACCATGCTATAAGCAAATTCCCTCCTGTACATCCAGAAAATATCTGCAAAAGAAAGATGTATTTTTCATCTCTTAATAAATTCTGCATTGCAAGTTTTTGCAAAATGTTAGCCTTTCTTCCACTCTTATAGAGCAGGTCACTCACATACACAATGACTCTAAATTCAGAAACTAAAGACAGCAATAAGAAACTACTCCACTATCTTTCCCCAAATCAATGCAATGCAGATATTAAAGGAAACGGGAGAGTCATGATCACCTACACCCTGAAGGTATTTAAGGAGGATAATGCCACTGGTGTTACAAAGGAAACTATTTTAATTTAGGTCATAAGTGATGAAGCTAAGAAAAAGCAGGAAATATCCAGATGACTACAATGAATTACATAAAATACAAACATGAGTAGATATTCTATTTGTATTCTTATTAATGCATGCTTTAACTCCAAAGATTCAAGCAGTTTTCACATACAAATATAGTAAATCATTGTCAGATATTTAACTTACCATCATCAACAAAAGTGTGCAAAGATTTTTTCAACATTGATGCTTGTTCTCCAAATTGGCTTCTCTTCAAACTGGCATCTTTTACTGGTTTTTCTGGTTTCTGCAAGGACTCTGTTTTCGTTTTAGATTTAGCAAACTTTTGGTCAAAAGCTTCTTTATCAATGTCTAATGTAGCCAAGAATTTTCCTCTACCTCCAGATTTTAAACAAGCCTGACCCATACTGAAATGAGAAAAAATATTCAGATATAACTAAACCTATATCTGTAAAAGGACAATATGAATAAAGACAAAAGGAAAACTTATCTTAGCTGACGTGTTTCATCCTCTGATGGACTTAAGCAAATTTAAGGATTTTATTTTGCAACTAGGATTATTATTTTCTTTTCTTTTCTTTCTTTTTTTATTGATTCACCCCAATCAAGGCGACAAGCCACTAGTACGCAAGGGGTTACAGAAGATTTGGAGCAAGACCAGATAGGAGTGCTAGAGGAAAGGAGAAGGATAGTAGATAGATCAAGGCAACTGGAGATGTCAATTGACATTATATTCGAATAGTTGGAGATTATAGTTGTCAGGGAGACAGGAAGAGGGAAGGGAGTTCCACAGGCGAGAGGTGCGAGACATGAAGCTATTGGAGTAGAAGAGACAGCTACATTTAACAGTTTCAACAGTGAAAGGGTGAGAGCGAGATGCCAGCCTCGTAGGACACTTGAATTCATTTATATGCAGAATTGAGAATGTTACCATTTTCCCAGAATTTTTAAACTTAAGAATGCTCATAAATATATAACAGGCTAAGTGAGTTACTGATTAATAAACAAAAGTGAGTAAAAGTTGAATTTTTTTTATTTTATTATTTTAGTTAAATAAATATAAATAAATTTTAGATAAATTTGAAAAAAAAAAAAGATCTGGGGTGAATATTTACATTTTGGTATGGTTTGATAGCGATACTATCAAATACTTTCAATTATTTCTTTTCCTTAAAGGAATACTTCTATCCCAAGTCGGCATAAAATGTTTTTTAATATTAAACCATCTATTATTTAAAATACATAAATTAATGTTAAACTAAAATAATAATTACATTAATAAAAAAAATTCCACAACATACTTTCATTTATTAGTCATTAAATTACATCATTTAGCATCCTCCATAATTTACCTTTATTTTCATTTAGCCTGATGTATATTTATGAGCCTGCTTAAATTATAAAATTCTGAAAAACTAATGATATTTTTAATTCTGCTTATAAATACTTGTTGCAGAATAAAATCCTTACATTTGCCTTGGTAAAGTCCATTGTTGGGGAGTTATAACACTGAGTAAATAATTATAAACCTAACATACACATATATGTATGTATGTATATATATATATATATGAAACAAAAATACTCATAAAAATGAGAAGCAGCAAGACATGGAAACAACAAAAATGTGGTGTTAGAGAAATGAGAGACAGTAACACAACCCGTCCATGTGAACTGCTTGTTCAATAGTGAGAATGTCATGTGTTTAGAAAAAAGTGGGGTGGATTCTCATTGGTTTAAAATGAATGAATTAATGATAATTATAGTTGTTATAATTATTTTTTTTTTTTTTTTTTTTTTTGACACTATAAGTAATTTTTATCTATTTATTTCTTATGGATATGACAAAGGCCCCTTCCAGATCATTAGAAATTTATTTGTAATTATTAGTGATATATAAAAATAATACTTTAATATCTAAAGTATGTTTTGTAATGTTAGGGCCAATGTAATTGTTTTCCAGGCTTTTGTGGTTGCTTCTGATGGCGTGTCATCTGCTTTAATGGATGTTTGTTCATTCGTTTTTTGTGTAGGTTTTCAGTATGAATGATCATGCCTTTCAGTTTGTAAGAATTACTTAACAAGATAAACCAGTTTAATCCTATCAATAGCAATATTATCTTTTTTTAACGAAGTACATGTCCATATTGCTGATAACTTGGTATGGGTCTATGTAGTTTGAACTCAAAGGTTTTTTACGGTGTCATTTCTTATATATTTGCAGGTGTAAAGATTACTTAGTAGGTGTAAAGAGTAATGCTGACATTCTGTTTTTTAACTCCTGTACAAATATTGTGGGTAAAGTCTCTGACTTGACAGATAAGATTAATGATGTGTAACAATATGATTTCTCACACATACTTAGGAGGTAAATAGATTCTTTTTCAAGTCAATTTAATAACCAGGTTTTTCAGGAACCCTGTCTCCTGCCCACTTGAATTGGCAAACATAAAATTTTGTTAGTGATTTTAGATAATCTTTGAAAAACTGACCACCCAAAAGCTGAATATGTGGTTTCCTTTTCCGGAACACAAGTGGATGGATAGGGGCAGTGGGACCCCAGCTAGTATGCATATAAAGAGTTGGTCAGTGATGGAAACAGAAACAGCAGGCAGTGAAACGTTCAGGCAGTGAGTGTAAGGGTCTTTTTTCTGTGGCAGGAAGTTAGTGAAATACCTGAATTTTGCCTTCTCAAAGCCAAAGGAAAACATTGCCAATTAACTGAGAAATCATAGTGTTTGCCAGTTCCAAACTAGTGTCTTGAAAAGCATTTGTTATTTGCATTTGAAAAAGACAAACCTGTGAAGATAGCGAACCGTGTGTGTATATGCATACAGCCGACCTTGGATGTTGCAGTGACGTGCAGAAATGCATCACCACAGATGTGCCAAAAACCGTATCAGCATTAGGTGATAGAATTTTTCTCTATTCAAGAAACTGGTGATCTTAAAAAAATTGTTTAATGGGTGAAAAAGTGCAAAATGAATAACCAGGTTTTAATAAGCCATCCAGGTTTATTAAAACCCATTTATTAGTTTTGCAATTGGGGGGGGAGGGCTGTCATAAAATTTCCGAAAAAAAATAAACGTAAATGAATAAATATCCCCATCTGTCTATTAGGCACATAA